GAAGTTTTCGCCAGTCGAGGCTACGGTAGCAGAGTGAGTCTTAGGTTTGTTTTTCAAATGAGGATGCAATTGATGACAGCGATCAGATGGGTGAGCCGTGTCCGGATTATGTCTTCTGTTGGAACAGACAGGATAAGATGGAGTGCGATCGCCGTCAGGCTGTTGTTGTCGAGCTCGATAAGCAGATGGTGATGACCTAGTGTTGATGGAGACCTTCTTGTCGTTAACATATTTGTGGTACACAAATATCGTTCTGGAAATTTCCAGAACACTTTTTCCAGAACGCCAGAAGGTTTTTTTTTGGTGTGTTCTGGCGTTCTGGCGTTCTGGAACTTTGAATGCCCCAAACTCCAGAATGCCCAACACCTGAGTACTGAACCCAACCACACATCCGCTAGCACACACCTCATACCACGCACATCAAACACCCTCCCACATCACTTTTCTCAACTCTCAGCACTTCTCGGTCTTGCATTTCAATTTAACTCTGCCTTTCCTCCTGCAATGGTTCGAAAAAGCCGACGTCGACTTCTGAAACGGTCTATTCACTTGGCAATTCACAAGAAGAATCAGTCACAAACAGACCTTTTAACTTTAGCTTTCCAGAAAAAGAGGAATTCTGAAAGCCTTTTCATCCTTCGGTGTCTTCAAGCAATCATCGTTCAGCAAAACTTACAATCCGAGGCCGTTTTAGATGATGAGCATGATGCCGATGATCGATTTGAGGCTAGGAAGCCACTGTACCTGTTTTTGCTGGCCGCGCTGGAATACCACTTGGCCAGTGCACAGTCTGTTAAGCTTGTGCTACTCGGTCGTCGTCTACGTCAAATCAATCAAAACGGACTCGATCGGCTTGAAGAGGCTCTAAAAATTTTAAATTCAACCCGCTATGTTCAGGATCGGAGATCGCGCGAACGCAAAGTTTTAAGAAACGCAGCGTTTCCGCAAAGGTTTTGGGAAGGCGGTGATACATTTATATGTATAGTAAGTCTGCTTTCTGATGTTTTCTCTTGGTGTCTGCTAATGAGGGATATTGTACTCTCACTGGTAGGCTCGAATGAGCGAGGAACGATTTGGAAATA